AGATCGAACTTGAGGTGCTGGAACACGGACTTTAAGCACACAGGGAAAGAAGAAACAGAGGCGGAGGCAGAGAAATAAAGATGGGGACGTGTGTATGGGGGGCCGTCAAGGATCTGGGGTCCCTAGAATAAGTGTAAGGGGAGCAGTGAGAGGTCGGGAAGGGTCGTAAATTGTGGTTGGGGGGCAGGATGTTTAAATCTATGACCTCAGAGGTGGAGAAGTTGTGAGGAATAAATAAGCAAGCTCAGGATGTGGTCTTCGGAGGCCCACGCTGACCTTCGTCATCACCGGGTCCCTCTCTTTGATGCGACATTCACACGGCTTTTCTCTCTCCTTTTAGCCTCGTATGCACCTCTCATCTCAGCTACGCTTTTTCCACTTTCTGGTCCAGCAAGAGAAACTCACAGCATCTTTTCTTACTTCCGGAGAAATTTATTCCACATGTGTCTGATTCACTTGCGTTTACAGAAACTCGACATCGCCAGTGTCCAAAAACCCTTTCAACTAATTTTTTCTTCCCTTTCTTAGAAACAGGAAGTTGTGTTTGGCTGAGGGCAAACTCTTCCAGTGCCCCTGGGACTTACAAGTTGTTTGGAATGAGGAACGGTGAGGGCTGGGGAGGACTCGTCTCTCCTTTCCTGGGGCAGTTGTGCGTCTGCCAGGGGTAGGCCGGGCAGCTCGTGGGGATGGAAGACTAGCCAGAACTTTCCTGTCTCTCGTCGCTGAGCCCCAGGCCTGAGGGAAAGTATGTCCTAAAAGGGACAGGTGCGTTTGAAGGCTCCTGCGTTCCTCTCTTCCAGCACTAGCATCTCAGCTCGGGCTCTACTTTTGCGCTGGGTCTCATCTTTCTCTTCCCGATACTTGAGCAGGGTCTTGTTTTGGGGGGTGTGGGTTGGCTGACACTACCGGGAAGGATACACTAGCTGGGAAGGCCCACTACCTTCCCAGTGGAGTATCAGAGAAGGTCCCCACCTGAAGAAGTGGGAACGGAGCTGTAACGGGGCGCACCTGTTCTGATGCACCTGGCCAGGTTGTTTGGGAAGAAATGTTGATCTGAAGAGCAGACAGGTGCCTGGGAGGGGCTGACATGGTGCCCGCGAGGCAGGGGCAGCAGAGGGTCGCAACCCAACCGCCCTGCTCACTCAGCGCTCCAACTTCCAATGCCCTTTGCGAGTTATTTCGTTTTGTTTAGAACTGTTTTGAACGTAAGGTCGATCTGACCACAGTACGTCTCTAGTGATTACCTAGATTGAACCAGCAAAAACGTCAGCTTAGGTTGGTGCCTTCTCTCTCTCTCACATTCCGTGGGCAGCTTTCTCGAAGCTACAAACTCAGCGGAGGACCACGGGGAAAGGTGCCGTACTAGGAGAGACCTTTCTCAGAAAGACACGCCATCTTGCAGCCGAGGCCACCACATGCTGTGAACCCTGGTTTGCGTGCCTCCCGGGCATGGGTGCTACTGCCTCTCTCCCGTCCTAGGACTCACGGGCAGGGCCTGCTCAGGACCCTGGGCTGGCTGAGTGTCTAATCGACGGGGGAATTAGGGGAGGAGGGCGCTGCCGGGGGTGCACGTCTCTCCACTCCGCACGGAGCACAGCCTGGGTGGGGGAGACCAGGTGTCGAGACGGTGACTTAGCCTTTGCCTAAAACGCTGTCTTCACAGCCTTCGTCGCGCTCACCCCATCTCACGTCTGACTTTGGCCGTGTACTTAGTAATCTAGCTTCAACTCACCCTAGAGGCGAGAGGAAGTGACACGACTATGGCAGGAGAAATCTGGAAATCCAAGGATAGCACTAGCCCGGATTCTCTGGTAAATTCCATGTTTCTGGTCACTCTTATGGACAAACCATTCCTAATTCCCCAACAGCCATGGGCGTCCCGCTGCTTCCCGGAGGGGCTTGGAGATCTGAGGCATAGCATGCAGAGCCCCGATCGCTGTGGGCTCGGGAGCCTCTTTCCCCGCGACCAGGGGAGACTCGGACTCTGGGGGACTCGGGCCGCATGTGAAGGCCTGGCGCACAGCAGAGGTGCCACCTCACTTCACAGGCCTGAGAGTGAAGCTGTGACAAAGCCACTCTATTTGTCTGGACCACACAGAGATATCACAACAAAGCAAAAGACAGCATATTCTTAAGAACTTTCCTCTTGTTCCTGTCCTTTTTGTTTGTTTGTTTGTTTGTCTGTTTGTTTTGGTGGTGGTAGGAAGGCTTGGTAAAAATGAAGAGGGCTCCAGGGGAAAAAGCAAGACGAGCTAATGTTTGGATGCTAGGAAGGAGGGAAAGTCCTCAGCAAGAGGGTCCACTGGCTAAAATGCCCAAACATGAAGGATCTAAAGCTAGTGGACATCATCAGAGAGCAAGGTGTGGAGCTGGTGGGAAGACATTCCCATCACCCCTGGGAGAGAAGGGTGGTTTACTAAAGCGGGCCGGGGAACATGCTTTTGTAAATTCACAAAGCCCTCTGGTCAGCTACAGGAGAATAGAGGGCAGAGGATAAACCCCAGACAAGGATTCACTTGTCTCGCGGACAGAGGTTGGAAATGGACTTCGATGCTAATGCACCACCTTTGAAACATTTCTGGCAGGAGCTCGGAGGATCCAGAGGAATGACCAAGTTACCTGCTGAGTCAGGGCCTTGTGGACTTTCGCGAGGAGGCACCACTACCGCTTCTGCGAGGAACTCTAGCTGGAAAATGCAAGCTCTCAGCAGAGGAAATGCAACCTTCCCTTCTCTGGGCTAGAAGGGTGGTCGTGGTAGGCTGGGGGAAATGATGGCGTGGTCTCTCTCTGGTAGGCAGATCTGTTTTCTGAGTCCCTGAGCTGCAGCTGTTGAGTTTCCAGACACAAACAAGTACATATTCTGTGAGCCTCGCTGAGCCCACACAGCAAGGAAGAGCCAAGCTGGATTCCATTCTGCTTTGCACATCAGCAGCCCAGCTGCCAGCTGAACTCCAGGGCAAGCTCTGCTCCTGGTAATGATGTAGGCTCTAGGTATGGCACAGCTGGACTGGCGTGGGCGGTTAATGGGGACACACCTGGCCTTGATTATGTGGGGGAGAGTGAGAAATGGAAAGAGATGAAGGGTTGCAGGAACATACGATCAATCTCAGTAAAGCTGGTTCACAGCAAGGACAGATCTGGCTTTCCTGGTCGTCAGCAACGTGCCGGTGTGTGTGTGACTGTTTATGCTTAGGTAAGCCCGGCCTCCCACTCACTAAAAGCCGGCAGTCGGGGAAAAGTGGTCAGCGGTGTCCACGGCCACCGTGCAGAGTGTGCACCACAAGAAGACCAGCTGAGGGCACGGTCGGGGCTGAAATCCCTGCCTGTCTGCCCTGCCTGTGTCCCGACGGCCCGAGTCCTCCCAGCGGGCACCTTTTCCTCATTTACACAAGGGCTCCGTGCAGCATCCTCTCTGCCCAGGCCACTTTTTACTTGAAGGGGTCTTGAGAGAAAGCTAAAGGGAAGGACAAGGCGGGTGGGGTCAACGGTGACAGGTAAAGGGACGATGCAAATTTAGATATTTTCCTCCTTTTTCCTCGAATGTCATTTCTTGATGTCGTCTGTTCCTTTTCGCCCACTATGACCAAGGACTGAGCTCCCTCTACACCAGACCATATGGAAGTCGAGCTGGGGGCTTCATCTGACCAGGAAGAGATGAGGTGACATGGAGGGAAGATGGGGTTTGGGAGGCTCTCAGGCAGGTTTCACGTGGCTAGTGGGGAAGGTCAGGCTATGTAAAAGGTCTGATTGGGACAGTTGCAATTTGCCTGGGTCAAAAGAGTTGTGAGCTGGGAATGACATTTGGCGTGGAGAGAAGGAGCTGAGGTCATTGGGATGATGTTACTTGGAAACAGGTGCAGCATTCCTCCGATGCAAGGAGAATCTTGTATCTCTGCCGGGTCAGTATGTAAATGTGAGGATGAGGACATATGCAGAGTGGAGTGGCATGGGCTTTCTCGAGAATAACGTTTTGTTACCTCAGAGCTGGAAGTTTCCACTAGAGCAGTGGTTCTCAAAGTGCGGTCCCCAAACTAGCAGCCTCCATGTCACCTGGGAACTTGTTAGAAATGTGGATTCTCAGGCCCCTGACCCGCTGAATCGGAAACTCCGGGGTGAGGCGCAGCCATCTGTGTTTCAAGCAGCCCTTTAGATGACCCTAATGCCCACTGAAGTTTGAGAACCACTGGTCTAGATTATGCAGATAAAGACTTGCCTGAATGACCCAGATTCAGCAGACGTGAGAACTCGGGGGAGGCCTCAGAGGTGCAGGCAAGGTGCCAGCTTCCCTGGCTGTGCTCAAGGTGAGCCGACCTAGTTTGAGCCTCTGTCCTTGGGCCCTGGGTCCCCTGCCATTTCCAAAGAGATACCTAACCAGATCAGACCACTCCATTGGCGCAATTTCACACTTTAGTTCAGAGACGCATTTGCATAAATACTTGAAATGGATCCACCCCTGCAGGTGGGAGCCTGAGAACACAGGGCTCTCCACAATCCTGCGACTCGCAGCCCTCCAGGCGATGGGTTTAATACTGAAGACACTCCTGGTCATTTCTGAAGAGAGTTCGGGGTGCAGCTACAGTGCTTGCTTTGACGCTCACCATCCACCCCTACTCCACATCTCTCTGTGACTAATTTTTTCCCCTCTGAGGTAGATTATTTAACGAGGGAACCGAGTAGAAATAACTTCTTTCGTTTAACCTTGTTAGTCCTCTGCAAACAGGCTGACCGAGTCTTCCTGGGTCCGTGAGGGCACTCTTTACCCTTTAACCTATGCCCTCCACTTGAACCCAAGCAAGGTCCAACCCACTAGATAGTAGACTTTAGCATCTGTGGTCTGTCTCCTCTTCTCTCCTCCCCCCATGGATTCATGCCCAGCTGCAGCAGTGGGGGGCCTGGGTAGGCAGGCCACGCCACCCCCAGGCGTGGGGTCACCGTAGCGCGACCCTGGTCTGCACCCCACGCCCCGAGTCCATGAGCATAAGCCTGGCCCGCCCGCCGGATCACGGGGCACACAGCTGGCTTCCGCACGGCTTGGCATCCTCAGGCTTCAGAGCCTCGTCGCAGGTGGTGGAGGCCTGGCCTCTGGGGTCGCGGCACTCCACCGCCCGCCGCTGCCAGCCGGCCCCGCAGCTGCTGGAGCACTCAGACCAGTCTCCCAGGACCCACTGCGCGTTGAGCAGGGGCTGGATGACGTTGGTCGTCGCTCTCTCTTTGCTGCTCTGTATGCTGAAGTTCACGTCATTAGGGACAAAGAAGGTATACTTGACTTTGGGGGGAAAGAGCTCCCCAGGGGCTGTCAGAAGCTGCACGGTCAGGGGCTCAGGCAGGGGCCAGAAGCTCTGCAGCCGCTCCAGGGAGGTGATGGAGCCGCTGTACTTGAGGATGGTGCCCTTCACCAGGATGTCCTGTTCCACGGCAGAGATGGCCAGGTTTCCATTGAGCAGGTACTGCCCGTCGGCGGTCTTCAAGGCCAGGTAGTTGCCGTCGTTCTGGATCCCCGGGTGGCTCCGCTGTTTCACGTCGATGTTAGTGGCACCGGCTGGGATGGTGACGATGTCGTTGTAGCCGTAACTATGACAGGAAGACACCCTCAGGACCCGTGGCTCCCCAGCCCGGTACTCAGGAAGTCAGCATGCAGGGACTGGGCGTGGGCAGACAAACGTTTGCTAGCAAATAAGGAAGTATTCGCCCCAAAGTGCCCAGTAAATTAGCTGCTGAGGCCGACAGGAACACTGGGAACACCGGGACTTTTGCTGGGCCTGGGAGCTCTATTTCAAAGGTTTGGAGTTTAGATCTCGACAATAGCACAGAGGGGAAGGCAGCCTAGAGGGGGTGAACACTGAGCCGTTGCTGCCAAACCTGGGCTCTTGGCTGAAAAGAGATCTCAGGCACGTGCAGCTCCTTGCACTGGTGTAAACTTTGCTTGGTCACTTTCATCCCAGAGCTCACACCCATGTGGAAAAATCTGATCCACACACCGATTCCAGAAGCTAACCAGATGGATGCCTCACGCCACCTCTCAGAGTCCATCAGTTGCTGGTATTATCGTGGCTCTAGGGCAGGGCGCGGGGCAACACAGCCTGCTCTGAGGAGCCTTCTTCTGGGCGTGCCCAGCACCATGAGCGGGGCTGTCTGGGGTGCTGGGATGCTGTTTGGGGAAAATGTTTCAACTTTATTGTGGGTCTGGGGCTTTATGTGGGATGGAGAAACCTTAATTCTGTTTTTTTTTTTTTTTGCGGTCCGTGGGCCTCTCACTGTCGTGGCCTCTCCCGTTGCGGAGCACAGGCGCTCCGCGGCACGTGGGATCTTCCTGGACCAGGGCACGAACCCGCGTCCCCCGCATCGGCAGGCGGACTCTCAACCACTGCGCCACCAGGGAAGACCAGCCTTAATTCTTATTCTTCTCTTTTGGGGTGGAAGTATTTGGTTTCGTAGGCTGGGAGGGAGATGAAGGGGATTGAGGAGCACAGGCACGCTGCTCTTTGCTGTCCTTGCCTCGCGCCCACTGGGCAGCTGAGAAAGGACCCCAGGCCCCACGTCTAATGCCTGAGAGAGCTCTGGGAAGGGACTCAATGTCTGACTGTCCCACACCCCGTGCTTCTTTTTCCTATATCCTTTGAGTTTAAATTTGAAAAGACTCCTGAGTTGTCTGCCAAACAGGCGGATTCTGTTTTCTGAGGCTGATGAGAGGAGAGAGAGGGAGCCGGCTAGGGGCGCAGTGTGGCCGCAGGCCCTAGCCCTTCCTCCCCGGGAAGTGTGTGTGGGACAGGAAAATACTGCCCGGGAATGGACAAACCTAGGCTCACCTCTGGCCGCCATGACCTACCACTGTGACCCTAGAAGAGTCACGTAATCTCTTTGTGCCTTAGTTTCCTCATCTGTAAAAGGGGAGTAACGGTCTTGGCCCCAACAGACTTATTTTAGGAATCCGCTGAGCCTACAGAAATGAAAGCACTTGAACAGATATAGGAGCTTTATGAACGTGTGGCTTTAAGGTGTGAGAAAGCGTCTGGAGTTCTCAGATCCATGAAGCCCCGAGGCTGCCAAGACCCCACTGTGGGCCCCCGTTTCTGAAGATCCACCTGCAGAAAGGGCAGGGCCCGCCAGATTAGGGTGAAATGTCCTTCCCACAGCAGGCCTGGAAGAGCTGCTTTCTGGCAAAGGTCCTGGTTACTCAGTGTAGCTCTACTGCCAGTTGACTCATAGAAGATACATCCCTATCCATGTGGCCTCTGGCTGCCCTGAGAGCTGTCATCTCTGCGGGCCAGACCCCGGGCCAAGCGCTCTGCCCATCTCGTGCCTCGCCACAGCGACTCTGAGATAGAGAGGACGCCGCGTTTTATGAAGAGACTGGAGCTCAGTGCTCCACGGGGATGGAGTAGCAGCCACAATTCAAACTTAGGCCCCTGTGACTCCAAAGCCCGGTCGGCTCGCACAGCTAGGGACAGAACTTCTGGGGAGACCCACCTGGAGGGGTTGAGGGAACCAGACACCTTCCTGCACGAGTTGCCTTTGCCGCCGCACACGCCGCATTTGTCCAGCTTCCTAGGCGAGTCCACCACGTGGTCACAGCCAGCCTTGACACACTGGCCACGGACACAGATGGCCAGAGTCTCGGGCCCGCACAGGGTGCCGTCGATCACCTGCAGTGGGGAAGGAAGGGGGGGCGGTCAGAGGGCCCAGTGAGCACTGACGCCGCCCACGCTTGGGCTCAGGCCAGGGGGCCTTCCTCCCCACCTGTGCACCTGAGTTCCAGGAGGATCCTCACCTTGGCTTCGAACACTTTGAACTCACTCCGCCCCCGGGCTCGGCAGAACAGCTTGCAGCGGTCCCGGGGGGACACCCCTGCGTACTTGGGGACCCACTGCAGCAGGTTCCCATCCACGTCCGTGTAATTGTAGGCATTGTACTTCTCACACTGCTGCTCCCTGAAGCTTTTCCCTAAAATGAGGGCGAGAGGGCGTGGAGCTAACAGGCTGAGCTGAAGCGGGGAGGACCCCCACGGGAGAAGTGCCGAGATTCCGGGCACCCTTCTTTCTCCCGGACTTGACCCAACCTGAGGACACAGGTCCAGCGTCACCTGGGCCCAACTTCCCTAGACCCCGACCTAAGGCCTGACTCACGGGGCAAGGAAAGGAGCAGCCAGCCTCAGCTGGGCTTTCTGGGGTAAACAGTCTTCCCGTTTGGGGAGAATATTAATCCTGCTTTACAGATGAATAAATTTAGGTGGGGACGGGGGAAGCACGGAATGACACGTGGAGTTATGTTTTTGGGCCTCTGCTGATTGTGGTTTTATCTTGCCCTCCGTGGACATGTCGGCAAAGGCTCCCAGATCTACGTCTCTAGTTCTGACCTTGCCTCTCCACCCTACCTGCTGTAATTCTGGGTCTCTCTGGGGGAGCTCCATTTGTAAGATGCTGCAATTACCTCCAGCTCAGCGAGGCCCAACTCCATATGGTTTCTCCATATGAAGAACTGGCTGGGTTTTCATTTGGTGATGCTACCACATCCCAGCCTGAGACCGGAACCCTGGTGTCTTCTGAATATTTGCACACCTACATCCACTATTTCCAGCCTGTCATTAAGTCCTGTACTCTACTCAGGACGATCTGTGACTTTAAATGTCTCCTTCCCACTGTCAGCATTTCGGTCCACTGCTCACAAGCCAAGGCCTGTGGTTTCCTGCGAGACTTGGTGCCCAGCCTCCGACACACAGCCTGCTTCCTCTCCCGTCCTGCTGCAGGCTGCCTCCAGAACAATCTGTCTGAATTAAGACCTGGGTTTTTCCCTTCCACAATCCTGAAGTTCAACCCGCTCTCACTACCGAGGTTCTCCACACCAGCTGCACATCTGCATGGTCTGAGGAGCTTCAAATCCCAGGCGGCCGTGCACTCCTCCTGAGATTCTGAGTCAGGACACCTGAGGCCTCTGGGCCTCTGTGTTGGGAAAAGCTTCCCAGGTGACCTGATGGGACAGCCAGCACAGAGAACCTCCTGAGGCTATTTTAGCTTTTATGCACCCTTGGCTGGCCTGGAAACGCTGGCCCACTCTGCCCAGCTGTGCCCTGTGGGGGGGACCCTAGCCCCCATCGCAGCGCGTCCTCCTGCACCTTCATCACCGTCTCAGCCCTCGGGGCCCCGCTCAGCCCTGGCTCCCCAAGAAGCTTCCGGCCAGGCCAGGCCTCTCCTCGTTCTGGATTCCTTGTCGGTCTGGGGTCTGTGCCTCACAGACTGGCCTTTAATTGCTCTGTAAAAGGGGTTTGGATCTCTAACAAGATCTGCACGTTCCCTGAGGACAGAGAACATGCTTCTTATGTCATTATAACACCTATTGCAGTTCTAGCCACACAAGAGGCACCAAAACACTCAGTGACTGAGATGGCTGGTCCCGGTGCACCTGAAATCATGGTATCGCCTATGGTCTGTGTCTACCTCATGCCTATATTCATTCCCCTCCCCTTTCTCTCTCTCATTCCCCCAGGAACGCTTCACCCGTGTGTCAGGCAGACCCTCACAGATCCAGGGCAGAGTTTCTAGAGCTTCGTGCCGTTACCGATCTTCCTCATCTCGCAAAACTGCAGAGCCTCCAGATTCCCTCATTAGACACCATTCCAATGCCAGTGCGCCTCTGCGTTTGGATGCATCTCTCTGCTTGTCGTTTGCTGCCTGCCAATACTTCCTGGGGCTGCACAAGGGGAGCTGGATGGGATGGTGGGGAAAAGACCTGCAGTGGTTTGCTCTCACATCGTCTGCTGCCCCTGCGTTAATGTGTGGGCTTTCCAGCAGGCACTGGGGAGGACGTCCCCAGGAGAGGCAGAGGTGGGGCTGCTTCCCAAGAAGGGGCTGCCAGGCAGTTACCACGCTCCAAGGGGAGACGGGCAACTCTTCTCAGGGGGAATGCGCGCTAGGGTCAGATGCAGAAATCTTCCCTCTGCCCTGAGCTGGATGTTGGCTGGAAAGATATTGGAGGTTTGGCTCTGACCCTGGCTTTGGAAAACGCCTCCATTCTGCATACAGACGAGGGTTCAGACGTTATCCTAGACGCTTGTCCCTCTGCAAAGCCCTCCCCCAGCTCTAATGAGTAAGTTTGGTTGGGAATGATGCCCTCCATCTCTGCATCTTGGAAGACCAGGGCAGTGTCTCTCCTCGACTTTGCCAGGCTCTCCCCGGACAGGGAGAGCGGTCCTGGGTCGCCACGGGCTGCTCTAAACAATTTATGTCTGCACCCAGGAAAGCTCTGCACCCGGGAGACCCCCGCAGTCCTCTGGGGATCTGCTGCAGGCAACACAGCAGCTGCTCTGGCCGGTGTGGCGATTACCATCAGGGGGGCACTCCTCCGTGTGGCACGATTGGTACTTGGCTCTCCGACCCAGGCAGTATCTCCCTCCGTTCTGAGGCTCGGGGTCCTCGCACTCGCGGTGTGAAAATTGTACTCCTCCTCCGCAGGTCCGTGAACATTCTCCCCAGGGTCCCCACGGGGACCAGCCTCCATCCACCACGGCCTGCAACACACAAGGCTGCACTGAGTGCGGAGCAGAGGGCAGGAGGCCTCGGCTCTTGGTGTGACCTCCTCACCTAGTTGTGTCCGTCCTGGCGCATGCAGTTCGGTAAACTGCCGGATTCACCTGTGCAGGGGCTGTGTGGCCCGTGCAGCCGCGGCTCCCCGATCACAGTCTGTGCTGGCCTTGCTCGCGGCTGGCCCCCTGGTGTCTACAACAGTGCCTTGCCCTTTGTAAGGTGCTCAACAGGAGTTGCTGAGTGAAACACTTTTATGGGAATAAGGTTGGGTCTAACGCAGCGGTTCTCCACTGACCGGGACACGTGGCAGTGTTCGGAGACCCTGTGGTTGTCACAGCTGGGCAGGGCGCAGACTACTGGCCTCGAGCGGGTGGCGGGCAGGGTGCTGCTAAACATCCAGCCACGAGCACGACAGCCTCCCACAGCCGCGACGCACACAGCCCAGATGCCACCGGTGCTGAGGCGGGTAAGTTCTGATCTGAAGGACTAATCTCTAGGAGGTGTGGCCACTAGTCTGCCAGCTGCCAGGTCCAGGGGTAGGATGGTGCTGGGAAATAAACTAGAGTGGCTTCCAACTTTACAACTGACCCTGAGGACAAGGCATTGCCTTGGGTGGGTTCGTTAAGTTTTCAAAGTGAAAATAACTTTTAAAAAGTTGCAGAAGTCATACGTGCTCATATAAAAAATGAAAAATACAGAAAAGTATAAAAAGAAAGTAACGCTTACAAAATAACACTACCCAGATGAAACGATTGACATGATTTTCATCAATATCCTTTTGTACCTTTGCTCTGACTATAGAATCATGAAGGTGCCAGGTTTTATTTTACACAGATATGATTCTGTCATATACATATATATATATATATATATATATACACACACACACACA